GTGTATTTTGTGACATGGTAAATACATTCCTCTGAAAACATCTACTGTTTACTGTATATTCCGTTACATTCCAGTTACAGTGGAAAGGGAGCAGGAAATGTTATTAAAGTGAGAATTATGGTACAGTATAAATTCTCCCTTTTTCACCCAGTTATTACTCATATAAATGTAACTAGTTTCTACCAATGTCCTGTAAAAGCTGGGAAACACTTAAACCATGCAGGACAGCAGCCCCTGAGGACTAACCTACCGGTTACTGCAGTTAAGAAGAGATCATTGACAGCATACTGCTTCACATTTGTTTAATCAGAGCGAGGGAACAGAATGTTCCCGACATATTTTCAAAGCGAGATGAAAACTGTTTTCCTGTGAAAACCTCGACCATCAGAAAGATTGCAGTTGTGCTAATAGAGAACTATAGGACAGCCTAAACAGTGAAGATTATGCATGCTAACAAAGATAATGGTTTAGTACATCAGGGCCACTCTGACACAGCACACTGCAAACGTTATCAAAACCACATTTTCTCAACTTATATATCAGCTTATCAGAAGTTTAGTCTCAACCAGGACATGAGGGGAGAGGTTTATAACTAGGTTAGTTTACTTAAAATGTTCCCATCCACATCCTTTGTGTGATAAATGATCTGCTGAAGGGATCTTAGCTCATCTTTTAAGGTTTGATCCTCAGTTGTTTGGCTTTTTTTCTTCTAGATGGTTTTCTAATTGATATTTAAAAGGCATATAACCATTATCTTCTTTTGTTCCACATGGAAGGGGTAGAAAAACAAAATCAGGGTTGAGGTACTCATTCAAACAGATTTACATCAAAAAATATTCCAAGCTTTGGTCAGCTTACAGAGGACTGTTTAACTTCATGCTGCAATGTCTTACCATTCAGCTATACCAGCCAACTTAGAATAAACAGGAAGCAAACAAGAGGCCAAAGGTAACTCTGGGTGAGCCGTTAAAGATGATCAGCTCAGGTGGAAGAATTTGTTGTCCGGCTCTCCAAATACAGCTTTTATGTAGCAGAAGAAGTTGTAGGAAGACATGCTCCCACAATGTTGGCCTACACTGAACACATGGAAAAGGGAGCTCTGGCCTGATGAAACCAAAGATTATAATCCCTTTAAATAGAACACAACTCAATGTTCTACTGCATTTTGCACCATATTTATCTATTTTGCACTGCACTGAACCATCCCATATCATTGTCTTTTTCACCATGACATTAAACTGGTTTTCCTTTTCTCCTACACTGTCTACGTTCTTGATCACTGCTGCACTTTAAAAATGGTAATGTTCATTGCACTGCTGTAAGCTGCTCATTCACTGTTGAAAAGCTGTATGCATTGAAATTCCTGTTGTATAAACTCTGTGTATACAAAATTACGATAATCAGCTTATCAGCTTATATTCAAAAAATCATGTTTGGCTAAAAAAAACTAATACTGCTACACCTAGACCCATAGAGAAACAAAGTGATGATGACATCATGCTGTGGGGCTGCTTTTACTTCACATGGGGTTTCAGACTCGCATAGAGGTACATCCTTCAGCAGGACAATGATAATAGACTTAAAGCCAGAGACATGTTATAAAATGTTTATGTGTTTGAAAGGTCTAATCAAAGTCAAGATTAAAAACCATTTAAGGTTCAGTGGTAATGCTTAAAAGTTGCTATTCAGATCGTTTACTTAGCCTAACGTTAATGTGCTTGGGCTACTGGGGTAAAGAGAATATGGACAAATGCATTTAGACGTGCAAAACTGTAATAGTTTTAGTAGAGTCTTGGCCTAGTGGTTAGAGCAGTGCGCTTATTCTCTGAGGAGGTTGAAAGTACCTGGTTCAATCCCCACAGACTACACTCTGGGTCCTTGAACAAGACCCCTAATTACTCCCCAGGCGCTGCACATTAGGAGCCCACTGTTCTCCAAGGGGATGGGTTAGGATGCAGAAGTGAATTATTCCAGTGTGAGATTAATAAAGTTCAATTATTATTATTATTATTAAAAACTGTTAAAGGCATCAGTGGATTTGTTGCTAGAATTGCAGCAAACAGTGATTCTAAAAAGTTGTTTTTTTCCCTCTAAAAGTTAAAATACAAATACAACTAATCATCTAATGGCTACACTGTGCATTGTGTTATTGTATCACATTAAATCTACCCTCAAAAACAGAATAAGCTTTGAGCTTAAAACATGGTAAACTGTAGACATGTTGAAAGGTTGAAAATAGTACTGAGGTTATGAGGTGTTAAACTAAACAGTGACTCCAAATAAAAAAATGTTTAAAATAAACTTTCATACAAATCCAATGATGTGCTGCTGGTCTTAATAGGGGAGATTTTTTAATGATTTATTAAGAAACAGCAACACAGCTGTTTGCATAGAGATACTAAAGTAAAACAAATAATTAGGGCTTAAAATATGGAATTTGTTTTTCACCATCCAAGTATTAAAATAGTATTTTACATGTCCTGAATTGTTTTCCTTTTCTTTATTGTATTTTTTTTCTTGTATTATTGTTTTTGGAATTTGGGGAACAATTGTGCTTTGCTCCACACGGTCACTGAGCTGCTCTTATTTTTTTCTCTCTCTCCCAGCTTTCATTCCTGCTGTTAGGTTGGAAGATTAATTTTTAATGCATTTTCCAACAGAAATGACTGCAGACAAAATATACAGTCTGCTAAGAGAAAAAAAAAAACAGGCCTGTTTCCATTTTGTCTCTGTTTTCCCAGGACATTGTTTGTGTTTGGAGCTCCAGGGGAGGAGATAATAACATTCACAGTGAAGTTTGCATCAAAAAGGCGTCTTTTTCTGGGACATAATAACATTATTTGGCTGTCATAGAATTGCTGAATCTTTATATTAGTTTCAGACAAACTCAGATGCCTTTCTCTCCGTATCCTCTCTGACTATACAATCTGATCATCTTATTATGCACAACAAAAAAGGCCACAGAAAGGGAATAGTTTGTTTAAATTAATGTACTTTTTTAAAAGCCAACGGTTTGAGTAGCGACCCAAAGCAGAGATTTGTTGTAATAGTTTTTTCATTAACAAAGAAACTAATAGATTTTCTATAAAATGCAGAAATTTAGATTAAGGCTAAAAAAAGAAGAATAAACACACACAAAAAAGCTTTTACCAAAAAAATGTTGGCAACCCCATTTAGTTATTTCCATTCTATGCTCTCATGAATATCTGTGAGTCTGATTATTTTCCCACTAATAACATAATAATAGGTTTCTTTGGACTGAATTTGTCTGTCCTATTATAAAGAACCAAAACTGCTTTCCTTTTTGGTCACATGCCAAACTCAAAATATTTGACAGTATTTCTTATTTTATGTGATGGCCCCAAAAAATCTTCATCTAACAAGAATCTAAAAAGGATGGCATAGATTTGTTTTCAGCTCCCATGAGTGTTTACACGGTAGAATGATTCTTTTGCTGCATTTGTGGCTCCAAGTCCTTTAAAGTATGTTTTTCTCCCCGGTTTTTACATTTAGAATTAAATTTTGGCCCATTTGTCTTTGCCATACAGCCGAAATAGAGACAAACTGCGTCCAGGGCTTCAAGAACAGAAATGATGTGGGTTTAGCCTTGATTGGGCCGTTCTGACACATTTATAAGGATTTCCTTTTGCATGACTCCCTCCTGCTTACCATACCTACTGAAAAACTAAACTCAACATGACTTTCTGAGCTGTGGATCTCTGCAGCTCCTCCAGAGTCCCTGTAGCCTTCTGGCTGCTTTCCTTGATAATACCAACCTTGTTTGTTCTTTTAGCTTTAGCAGATGAGTTTGCCTTACTATTTTTTAATTCTATTAATTCTCTATTTTCAAATAATAACCTAAACAGTCCTCCATGAGATGTTCAAAGCATGTGATATAATGTAAATTCACTTTTTTATTATATGCAATGATTTTTATGTTACGAAATACATAAAAATGAAGCCAAAAAGAACAAAATAAAACTACCAAATAATAAAAAAGAATATGCAGCTAACCCTGATATTATATTATCATAACATGTAAAACACTATCAGTATTATACATACTGCTGATATTTTTGGCAGCTATTAGCACTATGTTAGTGTTGATATTTTGTTTGACTTATTAATTAATGCTTCTTTTTGTTTACATTTAGACCTATCTAACATTTCGTTTCATTGTTATGTTCATTATGTAAATAGAGGACCAGAAAGCATTATAGGCTTAACAAACTGGCTCAGTTTTATTAAGGTGTATCCGAGTAATGCGGACTGACATGAAATATACGTCCCATTTCTCACCAGTACTTCAAAAAACAAGAATCAATTCTATTGTGCTACTTTTTGCTGGACTATCACATAAAATCCCAACAAAAACAATGTGAAGCTTAAGGTTGTAACATGTAAAAAAAAAAAAAAGGAGCCTGTGCAATTTAGTAATTCTTAGAAAATGTAGGAACATTTGGTAAACAAAATGTAGCACTAACAGATGCTGTCGGTCAAAACAAAGAAGGTAATGTTCACATTCAAAGTAAGTAACAGAAAACAGCAGAGCAATGAATACAGGAACACTTTATGCAAACGTCTTGTGCACGAACTGTAGGTTAGTCTGTCAAACAGACACACTGATGTTTGGTGTCAAGCTCCTCCTGCTCTGTCTGCTCTATTCACACAGTCTAAACATGTTTAAAGATGTCGGTTGTTTTGTCTCTTCTTGTTTGCTCAGTTAAATGAAGAGGAAATGCCATTCTGACAGGCTTGGCTCAGTCCTTCAACCTGGAGTCTGCATTTCTTTAGCTGGCCTGTAGGGGGTGCTGTTGTATGAAACAGAGGTTCAGTGTTTTCCACTCAACATTAAAGGATTATTTCCTTCTGCTGCTTTTCTAAAAAAAAAAAAAAAGAAAATCTCTACATGTTAACATCAGCATGTAATCATGTAAAGAGATCAACTTTATTTTTCTTAATAAGTCTCTAGAAGTAGCTCTGATTTCCCTGAGGTTGTTTCATTCTCTCTCTCTGATAGCATCCTCTGTGGTTCCTCTTCGTCTTCTGCGCCTATGCCTCTTGAAATAGACTTGCACATTGTTCTGAACTCTTTTCAGTACCCCGTTGAAATAATAGAAGTGATCATCTTCATTGCTGGGAGGTTTTAGGTTATCTCTCCTCATGTTTTTTTCATCTGGGATGTCCCAAACAGATGCAGGCCTGGTTGCTGGTCCAGCCTGTCTCTCCTTGCAGTGTTTCCAACCAGCTTCAGTGCGATCAATCAAACCTTTGCAGAGCTGTGTGGTGCCATCTGCAGCCTGTGAGGAAGGATAATTATGAGAACAGTCAATTAAAGAATGCCATCCAGCTATTAGTCAATTTAATTCTCATTTAATTGATTTAAACTTCTTTCATATATTTTTTTCTTCATGTTTAAAAAAAAAAAATCATAAAAATCTCCCACTATACCTTTAAATTAGGGTTAAACACAGAGCAAACATTGAATAAAACTACAAAAGAATTATGACTTGGACAAAAGTTCCCTGCAGAACAACACTGCAGCCAGAGTTGCAAAGAATGAAAGAGTTATAAGAGTGCAATATATTGAGTTTAACTGTTTTCTCTCACAGCCAGCAGATTACTCTTTGTGAAAAAGGTCAGACTGTGGATTGCTGCTTCGTTCCATCAGGACATCTACAATTATAACCACATAGATTTAACTCTATATAAAAGCTGCATCTTTGTGCATTGCTGTAAATATTCATTGCTTCTGTTATTAGGCACTGTCAAACCCGATCTGCTTAACTGAACCTTATCTTCATAGTCTGAGACACAAACTTCATAACACAACAGACGCTATTTAGATTTTTAAATATGCATTACGCTGTAGTTAAAAATCCAAAACTTTTAGAAGAGAGCCCTCTTTATATTCTCACCATAAAAGGCAGTTCTAACAGAGTCTTTGTAAACAGATGTAGCCTCTTCCTACTATGGAGACATAAAGAAATAGAGCATCTTTGATTAAGATGATAAAAATACATTTTTTTTAATTTAACTTAGACCCCTCCTAGAGTTGATTTCAGGTCCGGGGGCTTTTAGATCCAACCCTGGTCCTCATGGCTTAATTATCTGCTAAGATTATCATTGGGTTCTGCACAGAACTGGTAATGTCACACTCATCTAAACCAGTGGCATTGAATTGGGGAAGAATTAAAACATCCAAGATTGTGATTGGATATCAATGACACAATGAGAGCATGAAGAAATCAAATTGTAAAACTTAAACATTAATATCGATTCTTGTGACTCAACTCGTTCTCATTCAGTCAACGACCTTCACCTTTTATCATGGGTTCCCTAATTATTAAGCCTGTGAAACTGGAAAATACATTTTAACAGACTGGTAATGCCGCAAAATCACATAAAAATACCTCATGCTAAATTTATTGATACTTAATTAATTTATTGATGTAATATGAAGTAATTGTAATAATTGTTTTAAATATTTTTATGACATTTATTATTTGTAATTATTTAATGGTACATCGAATTGTTTAATTGTGCATTTTTATCAATTAATGGTCAATTTTATCTTTTAACCATGTTATAGTTAGATAAATAAATGTGACTTCTATTTATTTCATGGTACATTTATTCAATTAATGGGACATTCATATTTATGTATTTTATTATATATTTAGTCCTTCCTCTTAGTGTCCCACAACGACCTGGCGAGTCCCAATCCCCGCTGCCCTACAGTCCTGGAAAAAATAATTAGGAGACCCAATGAAATCCTGGTTACTTTTGAAACATGTTTTCCCAGATGGATCTTCAATACAGCACAGTTTGTAACCAATGTCAATTCTAAAAATACTTAAAAACAAGTAATATAAGCTGACAACTAAAAGAGCTCTGGAAATTTTCTGTAGATAATAATACATTTTTCTGGTAAGGAATAAATTAATTCTCAGATATTTAGTTTACTTCTAACTATTGAAGTGAGGAAACTTTTACAAGCGGAGAACAAAACATGACCAGGTGTGGTCGACCAAGGTAGTTCGCCTTTCGACCAAGATGCTAAAAATAATCTTATAACACCCCAAAATAAACCCTACAACAGAAATGTTTCCAACTGCCCGTATGAAAGTGGGTGTAAAATCACAAACTCTTTAAATCAAATACACCATTGTAGGAAGAAAACCTTCCATACTAATTGTGAAGCACGGAGGTGCAATTGTCATGGTTTGGGGATGCTTTGAAGGAGCAGGACCGCATCAGTTCACAACTGTAGAATTAATGTCAGTTACTGTTTATGTGGCTACCAAAGGTTGTTTTAGCCAAAGGTTAACAAATATCTGTTTAATGAACAAAACAGGTTCCCTTCTGCTTTAAGCCAATATAGTTTCATATAAAAAATGGCAATCTACTGATAAAAATGTATTCTTTATTGACCCGATATTGATTATATGATTCATTTACCTTTGGATCTTTGTCGGTATGTTCCTTTTGGACGTCTTCTGAACTTTTAAAAATCGTCTGTGATTTCCTCCCATCGGGGTCCAAACCCTGTTTTCTGCCACTTTCAGCGCAGTTGGCTGAACCTTTCTCATCCTTTTCCTCATCCTGGTTGAGTTTTCCCGTAATAACTGATAACTCATCTCTCATCCTGAGGCCAGAGAACTGGACTTTAGGTGTAGCTTGTGTATTGTGTGTTACACATTTGATGAATCTTGGCTCCAAGTCTGAGTCGGGTGGCGTGGTTTGTCTCTGGTCTCCACTTGGCTGGACGTCAGTGGTGCTGCTTTGACCGAGTACTTCTGTCGTCTCTTGGATCTCCATTTTTACTGTGGTCTCTTCAGTCATATACCCGGCTGTTGTGGTTTCAGTCTGCATCTCTCCTAGTGAGGGCGCCGATGGTATTACAGACTCCTCTTCTGTCTTTGGTTCTTCAGTGGAATTACCAGCCACATTATCCTGAGTCTCTTTTGTTGTCTGTGGTGGAGCAGCTACTGTTGTAACTTCTGGTATTTTTTCTGCTATCTTGAGATCTGTCATCTCTCTTCTGTCTATTAGATAGAGTTTTAAAAAGCTTTTTTTCACTTCAAAGTATTTACATTTGCGTTTTTCTGTTTCACTAATGAAGTCCTTTAAGGATTTGATGAAAGGTGCGGGGTCAGCCAGCTCTTTAATTATTTCCCACCTCCTCTCTGTGTTTGCAGCCTTTGATGGCTCTGTTTCTGTCTCCATCTCCGTGTGAGGAATCAACATGATCAAAGCGCCCTGTCTCACATCACATGGCATCATTTTTACGCTGCCGTCATGATAATTTGCTTCATGAGTCCTCAATATTTGTAATCTGTGTGCTAAAATGTGTTTGCTCTCATTTTTTCCTCTGTTTTTGTTTATATTCATTGCTTTTCTTTCTTCCTGCTGGGAAGGGAACTTGGCTTCTTTTCTCTTTAGCTTCTTACTGAAAAATTCAATGTCATTATCCGGAGCAGGCCTTATGGCATACTGTGTCCTAAAAATAGATCCTTTGTTTTTTGTGGATGCCAGTAGGGGTTGACTGGGAACATAAACTCTCTCTGCATCCTCACTAGATGCTGCTTTTAAAAGCAATTGTTTCCAAAACCTTTCTTGCAAAGATGAATCCTTTTTATAATTCAAAAGATTAGCTGCATATCTCTGCTTTAGTTCCTTTGCTTGCCAGATTCTCTCTTTTTTTCCTGTTTTTTGCTTTGTACCATCCTGTTTCGATGCTTTTTTAATCCTCATTGCGGATTTAACTTCTTTATAGTCACAGGTGCGGATGATAATCTGCTTTTTTTGCAACTCAGCATCAGAGATGAGTGCCCAGCTCTGCTCAGATTTCTCCAGTAAGGAAAATGGAAAATTGTGGCTGGAGGTGGTGGATAGATGATGCAACAGAGGTGACCAAAAAGTCAGGCAGTATAGTATTGGATCCATGGCAACAGGAATAAGTTTGTTTACAACATACAGAGCAGGTTAAAGGTCCGATTTCACCAGGAATGCTCCATGAAAAGAAGCCAGAACCTGAAACAACAGAAGAAAAGGATGAAGTTTGTTGAAAAGTCCCTAAAAAATACAAATCCATCAACCATATAGCAGTTTTAGACTCTAACTCAGTAGTCATCTGTGTGCGAGAAAACGGTTACATAGTCAATGTTTTTCCACAGACACTTCTGGCTCCTAAATAAAAGATATGTAATGTCTATGGAATATGAAAAAAAAATAAAAATAAAAATCTAAGTTTTAACCATAGTGCGTTGAGATTCCATTTTGCTTCATCCTCGGAATAAACTGTTATAGAAATGTAGAATTTCTGAGTTTGTTTCATTCCTATAAAGTATGGCCTAAGAAAATGAAAGATTTTCTCTGTTAATTCAAACCTGAGTTCTATTTTAAACTGAAACCCCCTCCAAGCAGTTATATACCCCTAAAACCTTTCACATGTTAATTTGTTTTGAAATATGTTTTTATATAGATCATCACAGAATATAAATTATGATGTCAGAAATATAATTATTGTCATAGTTTTGGTTCTGTTTTGTTTTCTTTTGAGTATTCAGTTTTACTTTGCTCCTTGTTTTCTAGGGTTAGTGGTTTAATTCTTATTTTGTGATGTTTTCTGGTTATTTTCAGTTTTCAGGTTTTTATTTGGTGCCCCCCGCCGCCCCCCTGGGGTCCCCCTTTACCCCAACCCCCTTCCCGGTCCGCCCCGCCCAAAACCGCCCCCAAACCGCCCCATAGGCCCCCCCTTGGTTCAAGCCCCCAAAAATAAAACCCCCGGTCAAGTCCCCAAGGCCGGGTCCCCGGCCGAACTCCCCCAAACCCGGCCCCCCGAAGTCCCCCCCCCCGGAATGGTTTCTTCCCACAGATCTCCACAGGGTCTCGGGTGTGTGACACTGTGTTCACATGTTGAGATTTGGGGAATTTTGGAATCCCGCCCCCGGGCCCAAGTTAACCCTCAATAAAACAAAAAAAAAACCAACTCCGCCCCCCCGCCCCCGCAATTGGGGCCCCAAAACCAAAACAAAACCCGAAAAATAAAAAAGTTTGAAAAGGCCGTAACCGAAAAAAACCGAAAAAGGGGGGAAAAGGAGGGTAAAAAAAAGCAACCCCACAGCATAATGCTGCCTTAACTATGTTCAACACTGATCCACATTCTATCTGTGTCTCTACATTTACGCTGAGGTTGAAATACAACCTTTGTGGATTTCTAAAATTGCTCAAAATGGATTCTCACAGAAAAAAACAACAGATCTTTACTTGTATAGCTTTCTCTCTACTTTACATTTAGTTGCTATGATATACAATAAATGAAGTGGTTGTTACCGGTTATTCCTTTTTGTTCATCCTTAAGTATGGATAGTAATTGCATCAACTATTTTACATGGAAATAAATCCTATATCTTTTACACTTGGATTCCTTTTCCGCGGGGAAACAAGTGCATCAAAATATTGCAGTTTACAAATGATTTAAAAGTATTAGAAAAAGAACAAAAATGTTTAGATTTTTGTTTTCTTCTGTAAATATATAAATCAAACCCGTAAACTTATTGAATCCCAGAGTATCTCTATGAAATTCATATTAAATAATACAGAAAGCCTAATACTAAATTATAATCTGTTCTCAATTATAGATCCTGTAACTGGTTGAATGCTTGGCTGAGACCATCCCACCTGGACTGCTAATACAGAACTGCTATACTACAAAAGCACACTGAAATAAGGAGCCAGCATAGCACAGCTTAAACAATGAACTAAGATCTAAATAATGAAATGCAGGTTATTCTGTGCTTTAATAGAGAACAGTTTAAAAATCTAATTGGAGATTGCATTTAAATATTTTTATATAGAGTGAAAAAGCATACCAGAGCTGGAAAATAAATCCTATGCTTTATTCCTGTAAAGTCCTGGTTACAATACTGGATGCTGTGTGACCAATAAATAGATTGGCTCCTTTGCTCTTGCTGCTCAGCCACATAAACACTGTCCTCCTGGAGGCACGGACAGCTGGACGCAGCTCGGGTCCTTAAAGTCTGAAGTTCTTTAGTGGCAGCCCTAAATTTGCTGAAGAGCAGTTTTCTCCACAAAGGCTGGTGAAAGTAATCTATAATCCACCTCCCATCTCAGAGGAGAGAGGCACCAGTAGCAGCCAAGGCCTCGTTATGCTGAAAGTGAGCGCTGGAAAAAGCAGCACAAGCTCAAAAGTCCAGCTTCTATCTGTCCTACAGTTTTCTGTTTTGCCTATGCAAACCTGCTGCACTCATAGTGTTAAAGCTTAAAGATAGCAGTAATTGTTATGCAGTTTGTCCACATTAGGTCACATAGGTTTCACTTTGGGGAATTATACTGAGAAAAAACTAATGCTATATAACACTGACTATGTTGTCATGTTGTGGTGCTTTTGTTTCTTCTGCTCTCTTCTTTCTGTGAAAAGGGGGCCTTGCATATTGACGGTTACTGTCTTGCCGATACATGAGCGTCCATATTCTTAAGTGTTTTTCAGGCTATAGGCTTTTTTTCCCCTGTCTAACTTGTATCCACATCCATCCATCTTCCTGTCAACTTCAATCAGCTTATCTGCTTTGCTGAAGAAATGCACCCCTCTCTGCATGATGCTGCCACTACTGTAGCAGCACATATGTCTTGAGGGTGTCCATTTTCTGCCACAAATTATATTTAAGATTAAGGTATTTAGTGTTGTATAATTTGTGTGTCAATTTAAAAGCAGGATTTGTGGATTTTTGTATTTTGCCCATTTTATATCAAAGCGGATGTGTAAGAAAAGACTAAAGATGTGTCAATAGATTCTGCAACTCTGGAGGAGTCCTGTTCATTTGGGTGGATGGTCATGTTCTGGTGGGTCTGGAGCTATGCAATCTTTGCTGTTGTTTACTTAAAGCTAAGAATTTTGTTTTGTAGCTGAACCCTGTTTTGAACCTCTCCATCAGCAGTTTAGTGAAAGTAAAGGGCTGCATTGAAAGGATTTCTGTCTGCTTTACAATTCTAACACACGTCATTAAATCACCCTATAAACTGAATTAGTATCCAGTTTTTGCAGCAGTCTCCAGATCTCACAAATAAATTCTTATATATGTGTCTGTACCTACTGAAACTTTACATTTTATCTGATATGTTTACTTTTTTTCTTACTGCTGCTTTGGATTTATACTGATACACACATGTAGATTTATCCACAGCTTGTCTTCTGTCAGAGGCTTCTCAAGAACTGCTGTAAGACAGACCACTACAGGAGAACCTTTCTGCCTTCGGCCATGAGCATTCACACCAACTGTTTGATAAAACCCCTAAAATATGAGCTAAATTAACATCTAAAATCCAATTTTCCTTTATCAAGAGCTAAAATATTTTTTTATGTGAGATATATTTGTTGACTATCTCAATGACATTTTAAGACTGTAGATTTTGTTAGAAGTAAAGTAAGCTATTGTCAGAACTCAGGCTTTGGAACCAGAATTTCAGGCAGACAGATTGATGTGATTTATAATAGGGTTTATTGACAATACGTCGAATCTGCGACTCAGCAGCTAGGGCAAAAAAGGCCCGAATCTCTGTAGAGGGGAAAACTCAGGTTAGAGACCACATTAATCTGCAGAGGATGACTACGAGCGTGTGAGTCACTAACCTGGTTTTAAACTTCAGTCCAAACCCAGAGGAAGGAGTGGGATACAGCCAGATGACAGCCCACAGCATTAGACAGATTAGACAGACAGATTTTTTATTTTGTCATTTTGTAAATTTTCGTTAAGAACAGCTCTCTAGACAATTTAATTTTTTAAAGTGCAGCCTTGATAAGGTAACCAGCAGCAATAAAAAGAACCTTGTGATGAAAAACAGTAATGTAAACATATGACCGTATAGTTACAGTTCTAACGTACATTTTTTTTTTTTTTGCATACGGCGGATGCCGCCCAGACGGTTCCAGGAGCCGAAGCCAAGAAGGCTGCTAGAGTTGTCATGATCTGCCCTGATAGCTCACCCAAATACTCATGCATTTCTGCTCTGCAGCTCCCAATTAGCACTCATCTCATCTACCTGCAGGTTTCCCTTATATTGGGCTCAGTTCCAGCTATCAGGGGCAGATCATTGTTTGTCTGCAGTTTGATTTCTGTTTCTCTGGTCAGTTGGTTTTGTTTATTTTAGTCAGGTCCAAGGTTCTTTTCCCTGTTC